CTTTATTTATTTATTTTTATTTATTTTTTAATTTCAAAATATTAAGGGGCCACAAATACTTTTGTTACATGGATGAATTGAATAATGCTGAAGTCAGAGCTTTTAGTGTACCCATCACCAGAGTAGTGTACATTGTACCTGACAGGCGAATTTTTATCCCTTAACCCTCTTCCACCCTCCCCCCTTCTCGATTTCCAATGTCCATTACACTACTTTATGACCGTGTATACCCATCATTTAGCTCCCGATTATTAGTGAGGACATGTGTTGTTTGTTTTTCCATTCCTGAGATACTTCACTTAGGATAATGGTCTTCAGTTCTATCCAAGTTGCTGCAAAAGACATCATTTCATTCCTTTATATGGCTGAGTAGTACTGCATGGTGTGTGTGTGTGTGTGTGTGTGTGTGTGTGTGTGTGTGTGTGTGTACCATATTTTCTTTATCCATTCATGTATTGATGGACACTTAGATTGATTCTATTATCTTTGCAGTTGTGAATTGTGCTGTGATAAACATGCGAGTGCAGGTGTCTTTTTGATATAATGACTTTTCCTTTGTGTGGATACCTTGTAGTGGGATTGCTTGATTGAATGGGAGACCTACTTTTTGTTCTTTGAGGAATCTCCATATTTTTTTTCCATAGAGGTTGTACTAAAATGAGATTGAATAGAACACTGAATTCAGGGGACCTAGAATTTGAGAGTGGGGTGGATGAGGTGGGTATGCAGTACAATGTAGGTAATGAAATAAAACAGAAACCTTCAAAAAATTTTTGTAGTCTAACTTACTTACAGCAAAGTACACAAACCTTAGCTCATTGAGCTTTTTTATATGTAAAACATTTCTGTCCACTTTGGAAGGTTTCCTCTTGCTCCTTCCCAGTGTATATAACCTTCTCCCAACCCCCAACCCTTAGAGCTAGCCACTGTTCATATAAACGTGTACTCTGTTGTTTCTGGCTTCTTTTCATCAACATAAGACTGTGATATTATTTTGTATTTTTACATATATGGGAAGATTATTTTTTATTTTTTTGTTGCTGTGTGTTATTCCAATATGTGAATATACAGTTTTTTATCCTGTTAATGAACAGTTAGATAGTTTCAAGTTTTTGCCTATTATTAATAAAGCTTCTATGAACATTTTTTGAACATGTATTTAGCTGAACTATGCAAATATTTCTTTTGGGTATATAACTAGATGTGGATTTGCTGGATAACAGGGTAGGCATATGTTTAGTTTTTATAAATGCTGCCAAACTGTTTTCAAAGAAGTTTGTTGAGTCCATTTGCACTGCCATCTGCAATGGCTGCGTGTTCCAGCTGTTCTACATCCTCATTAACACTTGATATTTTTATTTTATCCACTCTGGTGTGAGCAGTATGCCTTTTTGTTTTAATTTTCATTTTCCTGATGAGTAATGATATTGAGCACCTTTTTGTATGTTTGTTGCCTGTTTGGATATCTCCTTCTGTGAAGTACCTATTCAAATCTTTTCCAAGTTTGAAAAAATAATGTTGGTAGTTGTTTTCCTATTGATTTGAAGAAATTAAGAAAATTCTACATGTAAGTCCTTATATATATGTGTTTGTGTCTGCATGTGCATGTACATATATGTACCTATGTGTGACATATACATACATA